GTGTGAGGTGTGAGGTCCCCCTGAGCTGCCAGTTGGTGGAATGTTCTTTGGTATGAGAATGAACCTCATGGCCGATTGTAAGTCAGGCTTGTTGAACAGTAAACAGAAACTGCAGTTATGGCACAAGACTGTTTCTAACAAGCCTGGTTAGGTGACTACTTGTCTTCCGGTCATACTGAAGGCAGGGCTAAGTTCTACCTCATGTAACTTAATTGTGCTAATTTTATGTGCACAGGCTAGAGTCGTCAGAGAGAGGGGGGAGCCTCAATTGAGAAATGACTCCATAAGATTTTGCTGTAGACAAGCCTGCAGGACATTTTCTTAATTAGTGATTGGTGTAGGAGGGCCCAGCCCACAGTGGGTGGTGCCATCCCTAGGCTCGTGATCCTGGGTACTATAAGAAAGATGGCTGAGCAAGCCGTGTTAGCAGCCCCCCTCCATGGCCTCTGCATCAGTTCCTGCCTCCAGGTTCCTGTCCTGGCTTCCTTCCATGACGGACTATGAAGTGGACTTGTGAGCCAAGCTAACGCTTTCCTCCTGAGTTGCTTTTGGTCATGGTGTTTCATCACAGCGATGCTAACACTAACTAAGACAGTATTTCCTAAGCAAGACAATTTGTAGATCCTTTATGGCCTCAATTTTATTCAAGGTCCTCCTGTGTCACTGAGGCTACAGAACTGCGATGCTAGTTGACCATGACTACTGTTGCTCTGAGGGACCAATAATTACACTGCCTGAGGAGTGTTGGGCTGCTGGTAATCCAAAGTCAGAGCACAAATAAGCCTCTAACGTGAGTATCGGGAGCCAAGCATCTTGGCGCTAAAGCCTGGAACCACAAGCCTCAAGTTGTCAGGACTTGGACTTATGGTTCAGTCAGCCCCACCCATAAGCCTTTGGTACACAAGGGTCCTTGTCTGCCAACACCAGGAGAGCCACTCCTATTTACCTGTGAGTTCTGATAGAGGCAAAGGACCCAGCCAGCTGATAGGGGATACAGGCACTACAAATTCAAATAACAATGGTATCCATGCAGGTCCACACAGTGTGGCAAATGAGAGAGCACTCTGGGCAAGGTGGAGTGCTGAGGGCTGTGCAAACCAAAGGCCACGAGTCCAAACAGGAGACAGCAAACCACAGCCAGCTATCTGTGCTGTTCTGAAGCACACAGCCATGCACACCCACTCACACAGTGCCCTGTGGACTCTACTGCACTGACGTGCTGAGGGAAGAGTCTGCATGGTCTTATCTGTAAAGCCGTCTCTTAAACCAGAAAATTTTGAGGAGAAAGAGCAAATCCACAACTGTCTGGTTAAAGCAAGCTTTATTTTAGAAGTGTACCTGGGACTGGCTAGCCACCTGTCTCACCCTAAGTTGGGACTTTAGAGAGAGCCCCGGATGTGAGGAAGACAAGGTTTCTATTTCTCAGGGACAGGGGGTTTCCAAATGAAGAATTTGATGGGTAAAGGTGAGTTACAGGAGCAGAACGTAAGCATAACAGTTACTCAGAAAGACCTCCTGAGGCAAAGACACGGTGGCCATTCCTGGAACGTGCAGAACCATGTGTAGTTAACGTTATAGCTGGGCACAGCCGAAGCCTCAAGGAACAGAGGTTTAATCATAAACAGGATATGAGCCTACTTTGTCTTTGTAAGGTGGCTTTTGAGCCTAAGATGGAGGCAGGCTGGTTCGTCACTGTCCAGAGTCTTACCCAGAGCATCGCAGAAGGCATTTGACAACCATAGTCTGAACTCTCTGGGCAGCTGAGCAGCAGGGCTGAAGTTTAGCCTGTCATGGCCAGGGGGACCTGTGCTTAGCTTGTCATGATCAAGGACCTGTACCCAGTGTGTGCAGTCTTCCACCACAGAAGCTTTCTGCTGTCTGGTCTTTCCTTTTTCCTCTGCTTTTCTTTTTCCTCCTCTCCCCTACTTGACAGGGTCTCATGTAGCTCAGGATGGCCTCAAACTGACTCTATAACCAAGGAAGACCTTAGACTGTCCTGCCTTAGCCTCTCACAGGTGTGCACCACCTTGCTCAGTTTATACAGTGCTAGGATAAAACTCAGGGTTCTGTGTCCATCAACCGCATGAGAGATTTAGGATAGGTTAGGGGAGGAAGTGAGATCTGAGGAGAGCCAGGGTGCCATCATGGGCTCTGAAATGTGTAACAGGCACTTGTGACACTGAGAGAGCTCTTTAAACCCTTCCACAACTCCCTACTGTGCTCAGGATGTTCCACCGTGCACTCCTGCCCTCTCCAAAATCCCCCCTCCTGCCCCATAGTGCTCCCGCTGCACAGAGCCTGTGCACCTGCTGTTTCGACCATAGGAAACAGATGCAGGGGGATTGCTCTCTGCTGGGGGTGCAGATAGCATGTGCCAGCTCCTCAGAAAGTGACCCCAGTGGAGGAAAGCTCTGACAGAGAAGGAGAGAAGAGGAAGGGAGATGCATATAAATTCATTTGGTGCCTAATATATTTCCCCTTCCTTTAAGCTTGTTGCCACCCTAGTCAAGAGTAATACAAAATGTCCCCACCCTGGATGACAGTATGCCCAAGGGGAGGCCCCTGTCCTCTACCCAAGTGCACCCTGGTCAGAGCACAGTGCCATATGGAAACATTCTCTGTCCCTGCTCTTCTTCCGGGGCAGGGCAGAGGCACCTCGTCAGTCACCTCAGAGTGAGTGACCCTCCCCATAGTGTTTTGGAAGCAGTACCTCTGTGACCTAGGAGTCTCAGGGTCTTTGTCCCAGGCTTTGTCAAAAACATGGGAAGCAAGAATTGGTGAACGGAGAGGGTTGGCTTACAGTTTGGGCAAGAACTAGAGAGATAAATCCTCTGCTTCTCTCTGTCTTGCTATTGGCAGTTGTCTTAGGGTTTTATGGTTAGGAAGAGACACCATGACCATGACAACTGTTATAAAGAAAAACATTTAACTGGAGCTGGCTTACAGTTCAAAGGTTCAGTCAATTATCCTGGTGCGAAGCATGGTGGCACACAGGCAGACGTGGACATGGAGAGGCAGCTGAGAGTTCCACATCTGGATTGGCAGGCAGCAGGAAGAGAGAGTGACACAGGGCCTGGCTTGAGCATCTGAAACCTCAAAGCCCACCCCCCAGTGACACACTTCCTCCCACAAGGCCACACCTCCTAACAGTACCACTCCCTGTGAGCCTGTGGAGGCCATTTCATTCAGACCACCACAGCACTGTTAGAATTCTAAAACAACCAAAATGCACAGCTAGGAGCTCCACATGTACAGAGCTACCTGTGAGGTGAGCTATCACAACTCCTAGCAGTAGTCACTCTGCTACAGGCTTTCAGCCATTCCCATCCCTCTTCCTGGATTAATTTTCCATACTCTTAGGACACCTCCCCATTATAGAAAACACTAGCTTTCTGCATTGCCTCTTGTTCTCAACAGAACATTTGCTGCTTCCCAAGGAATGTAGCTGGCCAACCCACTTCTCACCAGAGCCGTCCATCCCTGCCACACTCCCTTCTGACGTTTCTTGGGATGGAGCCCTGAATATCTGACTTTACAGTCAAACTTGCACTTCATACTCCCTGCCCCTGGAACTAGCCAAATGAACAGCACCCCTGCTACCCACCCTTAGTCATCAGCTTCCTGCTCTCCTGCCAAGTTAGAGGAGCCAGTTGTGGACCAGTCTGTCTCTCCTCTCTCCAGTCAACTCATTTTCTCATTCAGCACTTTTAAGTCTCTACCCACATCACTAACTAACTTTTCAGCACACAGGTAGACAAGCTGTAAAGTCCTCTTCCCCATTTGAGTGTTAAAAAAAAAGTCACACAAACACACACAGTATTTTAAAAGGTCAAAATTTGAATTTAAATGCCCCCACCTTCAACCCCCAAGTCTCACTAAGTATCAGGCTTCCAGTCTCCTGTCTCAGCCTCTTGAGTATTGCAGCCTCTGGGTGATGGGCTCACAAGAATGCACCATCCCTAAGACACTCTAGGCCAGTACCCACTTCTCTGGTGCTGGGGGAAGGATGGAAACAACACAACCCTGCCTTGTGACTAGCTACATGGGGTTGGGGGTTAGGGTGGGAGGGAGTAGGCATCAATCAAGCAGTTGAAAGGCCAAATCCAAAGGGAATCCAAAAACAGGCTCAGAAACTAGAAAACTGAGGCTGATAACAGTTGAACTCCCTCTCCTTATAGAGGCCGGAAGGGCTTGTCCGGGGAAGTGACCCTCCAGTGGAAACTAAAGGATGTCTATGAGGCTCTAGGTGAGACGGAGCTGGATGAACACTTATCTGCAGAGGAAATAGCAGGTGCAAAGGCTTTGTGCTAAGAGCATCATGGAGGGAGGATGGGTGGGGATTCTGGAGAGGGAAGGGTTTATAAGGCATGCAGGTGTCCATGGGCTGATTAAGGTCTTTATCTTAGCACAGTAGGGAGTCACTGAAAGGGTTGAACCAGGTTTAAAGAGCTAAACTCAGCCTGACCTGAGCTCAGAGGGATGGTGCTGGCTGCTGACAGACTGGTGCCAGGCATCAGGTGGCGTCTACGGATAGAAACCTTTGCCCACTCCCTTGCTCCCTCCCTGCTTAGAGCATGTTTCCATAGACTGAAGTGCAACAGGAGTTCGAAGCTAATCTGAGCTAAACAGTGAGACCCTGTCTGAATAAAAGAAAAAGGAATAGAAAGGAAAGAACCTTAGTAGAAAGGATCAAAGCATCCAGAAAAGAGCTTTCCCAAAAGAACCTCCAAATCGCAAGTTCCTCCCAAAGCCAGAGCATCACTAACTGGCTTCCAGAGTGAGAAGCTGTTGGCCGAAAGTTGCCGAGCGCTCACGGAGATAGACGAAGAACTTCGGGAAGGGCCAAGCCGCCCAATCTCTGTTGAGCGCGGAAAGGTCGCGAGGCGGAACCTCTCTAGCTGGGTGAAGTGTGTTGGGGGGACGATGTTCATAGCGGAAGAGGCCGGAGGATTTCCGAAGCGAGCGGAAGCGGCGCGGTCGGGTCCGAAGGAGCCGAAGGCATGGCCGGCGCGTCCTCAGAGACCGAGGCTGAGGCGCTAGCCGCGGCGCGCGAGCGGAGCCGCCTCTTCCTGAGCGGCCTGGAGCTGGTGCAGCAGGGCGCCGAGGCTCGCGTCTTCCGTGGCCGCTTCCAGGGCCGCACGGCCGTGGTGAAGCACCGCTTCCCGAAGAGTTACCGGCACCCGGAGCTGGAGGCGCGGCTCGGCCGGCGGCGGACAGTGCAGGAGGCGCGCGCGCTGCTCCGCTGCCGCCGTGCGGGTGAGGAGGACGGGACGGGGCTCCGGGAGACGGGTCGGACGGGGCTCCGGGAGACGGGACGGGACAGACGGGGCTCCGAGTTCCAGGGGACGGGACCAGATGGCAGTGCTTAAAGACTCAACGGCGACACTCATGACACCATTCTGCTTGGTTCACGGGCCTCTGCAGCTGTCTCTCAACTTGTTTAGCACCCGGACCCCTCAGTTTCTCATTTCTGCCGTTTCCGCTTACGGCCCTCCTCTCCCCATCTGGTAGTTTTAAGTAGCAGGTATCCTGACAGGCAGGTGTCTGGAGCCAGGCTCTCTGGATTCAGATTCTCCCTGCACTGCTTCCCGTGTAACCATTCAGCCAGTCGTTTATCCCCGGTTACCTTGTATGTAATGGGAATCTCAGGGATGTTGTGATCATTAAAGAAGGCATGCACATCACATGTTCTTATGCTGACATATTTCAATAAAAGTCTGATTTCATTAAATTGTTTATTTTTTTCTTTAAAAAACATCCACACCCCCACAGAACTCGAGAGAAAATGAGACAGAAAGAAGGGAAGTGCCCGAGGTTCCACAGCGACGGCAGCCTGTCTGTGGCCCAGAAGCACCGATCCTCTGCTTTCTCTTTAGTGGTTTTTAGGTGCCTACTGTCAGGACATTAATAGGTGCCAGGAGACTGGGAAAACTCAGCGGTGAACAAGCCTGTACTTTTCTGCCCTAGAGAGGCAATGGAGTTACAAAGTAGTGTTCATATAGTGTCCTTTACCTTTGTAAGTTTTATCAGACAGGGATGGAGGCTACCTTGATCCCCATGGACAGATCTCCAGTTTCTAGGAAAGTGTCCTGAACCTGGTGACATTCAGGAGAGACTCCTGGAGTTAACTGGAGGTATTGCTAGCACTTTACAGTTGTGGAGACTGAGGCAGAGAGTAGCTAAGGGAGCCTTGAGGTTTCACAACTAATAAGGAGGAGCTGGGATTTGAACCTGCTTGTTCCAGAACAAAGATGAACCTGTAAGATGACACCCTGCTTAGCCTCCTGCCTGTGTCCTTGTCAGGTAGAAACTGCTCAGACTGCAGGATGCTTTCCTTCTGGCTTCTTGTTTTGTTTGTTTTAGGGAGTAGCAATGAATTCCTAAGGCTTGAGAAAGGAGGAGCAAGCATTGGTACTTCCAGACATACCCTGGGCTGGCCTCAGGCTGCAGTCCTGCAGGGCTTTAACAGGGCAAGCCTCTGGATAAATTGTATCATTTTCCACAGTATTCCTAAACTCTGTTCCAAAGTAGATTTAGACTGAGAAACTGTCCACCTGTGCAGGTGAAGCCCGCCTGTATGAAGAACACACTTGCTAATCACGTGTGTCCATTACAGGGATAGCTGCCCCTGTCGTCTTCTTTGTGGACTATGCTTCTAACTGCTTATATATGGAAGAAATCGAAGACTCAGTGACTGTTCGAGATTATATTCAATCCACTATGGAGACTGAAAAAGACCCCGGGTGCCTCTTGGACTTGGCCAAGAGGATGGGGCAGGTTCTGGCCAGAATGCATGACGAGGACCTGATTCACGGGGACCTTACCACCTCCAACATGCTCCTGAGACGGCCCCTGGAGCAGCTGCACATCGTGCTCATTGACTTTGGGCTGAGTTTTGTTTCAGGACTGCCAGAAGATAAAGGTGTCGACCTCTATGTCCTGGAGAAGGCCTTCCTCAGCACACACCCCCACACCGAGACTGTGTTTGAAGCCTTTCTGAAGAGTTACGGTGCCTCGTCCAAGAAGTCCAGCCCAGTGCTGAAGAAGTTAGATGAAGTGCGCCTGAGAGGGCGAAAGCGGTCCATGGTCGGGTAGCAGAGCTGTGGTGACCGGCTCACAGTGGAGGATAATGTAGACCAGGCTGGACCTCAGCAGAGCATGGGGTCGTTAAGTGATCTGTGATCATGCTGGGCCACCGCCATCCATGGCTCACTGTTCTCAGGGACTTCATGTACATGAGTCTTAGTCTAGGTAGAACAGGGTGGGTAGCCTGGGCTGGCTTCACACTATGTGATTGACGATAACTTTGAACTTATATGCTCCTGTATCCGTTGGAGTATAGGTGTGTGCTGTCACATCTGGTTTCTGTGGTGTCTTAGGCATGCTAGACAAGCAGTCTACCAGCAGAGCTGAATCCCAGCCCTAGAACTGGGTGTTTTAGATCAAACAAGCTTTTCCCACAAACAGTGGCTGTGAACCTCATACATAGCAGGCAGCATTGAGCTGAGAACAGTGTTGTAGTCCTGGAAGGACAAAGGCAGGGGCTCAGTTTGAGATAACACTTCTTGGTCTGCTCTTTAATCTGGTGGGGTATTTGTTACACATAGGAAGACGGTGTATGGAGCCAGTGCAGTGGGATGTAAGCACTGCTTTGAGAAAGCAGAACAGACTCCGACTGCGATGCAGTGGACCGCTCCACGGAGCTTGTTCTGAGCGTGGATTTCTGCATGGGTGTGTTTGGAGTTTGATATAAAAGATGTTTTTGAGGGGCTGGAGAGATGTCCTTGTGGCTGGGAGTGCTTGCTCTTCCAAAGGACTCCAGTATGGTTTCCAGCCCAGCTCTAAGAGATCCAGTGCCTCCACCTCAGGAACCTCTGCTTATGTGCACATGCCCCTCCCGGAAACATATACATAGAATTAAAATAGTAAGAAGAAATTCTTAAAATATTCTTGAGAGTTGTACAAAGATGAAAAAATATATTACTTCCGTTTTTTTCTTTTATAAGAAAGCAGGCTTACAGCTTTCCGACAGCAAAAACAAGGGTGTTGGAGAGGTTAAGAGCATTGGCTGCTCCTCCAGAGGTCCTGAGTTCAGTTCCCAGCAACCACACGGTGGCTCACAACCATCTGTAAAGGGATCTGATGCTCTCTTCTGGCACTCAGGGTTACATGCAGACAGAGCACTCACACACATAAATAAATCTTCAAAAAAATGAAAGAGCAGTTTCAGACACCTGGAACACTGGGTTTTGTTGCTCTGTATCCATGGGTCGTGAAGCTCACATGGCTGTCTCAGGCAGTGGGAGGCAGAGCAGAAACGATGACAGAGCTTGTGATGATGTTGATACGTTGGGTGTACAGAGTGTGAAAACTGAGTTCTAACAGGACAAGACTGTTCCCTTCACAGCTGCTGCATATGAGGGCCCTGCACAAGACAGATGGCCAGGATAGGATGGCGATGTCCCTTCATGGGTGGATGTCACTAGCACAGATGAATATTGCCTGCTTTGCACACTGCATGCCAGGTTCTGTGTCATGAATTTTCCTAGCCAGGAGTAAAGCAGTTCCTGGGATGTCTTCACTGTGGGTGGTGGGCTGTCCAGGGAGCTGGCCTAGGTCCCACGGGGAACAAGAGGCACCCTCACTGAACTCCAGAGCCAGCGGTCTTTCATTGAGTTTTTGTGGATTTGTGAAGTAAGGTTTAAAACTCTCAAGCTAGCCTCAGCCTCCCAGTGCTGTGTTTGCATGTGTGAGCCACCATACCTGGCTTCCTATTGACCTGACAAGACCTGAGGCATTGGATGTGACTCACTTTAGAAGACACCGATTTGTATAACATTTTCAGTGACTTCTAAGGGCCAGAGGAGCTGGCGTGACCGTCAGCATGATGGAGAAGGCCTGTCCTCAGTTTCCTCACCCACAGGAAGGACAGTTGCACGAGGAAATGACTGATGTACACACATGTTAGATCCCAAGCGCTCACTGCGCTGGCCCTGACATGCAGGAGGAGCAGGGCACTGTGCTTTTCCTATAGGACAATGCACGACAGTCTCAGTGCTGAGGGACAGTGTGAAGGAAACCTGAGATTCTAGGTTTCCTAGAACCTAGGGAGGTTTCCTAGAGCTTCTAGGGAAGCATGGTCGAGCAAGGTTAGTGAGAAGCCCTGTGGGACGAGGCCAGTGTCGTCCATGCAGAAAATGGGTGAGGAGGCTGGGTTAGGCCAGTTCATGCAAGGTACCCTATAAAGATGGTTTCCTTTGTAAGCCTCCTAGGGTTTTGAGCAGTGAGTTTCATCCTTTTGTGAGTGCATTGGTTGCTGGTATACGGAGAGCCGTGGGGAAGAGGGGAAGTGAGACACTGAACATCCAGGGGCTGCTACTGCATCTGCCCATCCGTGACAGTGGCTGGGGAGGAAGCAGAGTGTGTATGCGGTGAACTCCTGGTCCAGGGACACTTGGTGAGGTGTGGCCTATTGGTAGCAGCACTGAGAGCACATCTTTGCAGGTCTGAGAGAGGTGATGAGCCTAGTAACGCCCCCAGCAGGAGTGTTGCCCATCTGCACCCAGTCCTTGCCTGTGATGGAGAGTGAGCTAGCCCAGAGGTGGAATCTCACAAAGGACCCAGCGGACCTTTGCAGCTGCAGGTCCTCTGTCTACATGGGAGCAAGAAGTGTTTTGCTAGCTTGAGTCAATAGCTCTGGCAACTTGGTGCAGAGCCTAATCCGTTTGTGAAGTCTGTTCCAGGGCCACTGGAAATGGTGGCTGGGACTCAAACCCCAGGCCTGACAGTACCGGCCCAGTCAAGAATCACTAAGATCTTTGCACATCTGAAAGATCTTACAAGAGGCAGCAGGTGCAGAGAAATGAAGGAGGGCTTAAAGTCTCTGAGTCTGAGCAGGGCCAGGGAGGTACATCACAGCAGTGTACACACCCAGCCCTGAGAAGACCCCAGCTACTGTCTCCTCTACTGTAACTGCACTTTCAAGCCATCTGTGGGGCCACAAGTAGCGGCTGCTCCTTCAGACCTTGGAATAGGGTGTGCCTCAGAGGTTTGCTGCTAAATGAGATGACCAGGCGTGTCCACAGAGCGCTACTGTACAGGACAGGGACGCCACCCCTTGAGACGGTGGGGGAGGGGTGTGAGCTGTGATGTCAAAAGCATGAGCCGATTCTACTGCTCTGTAAGGCTTTAAAAAGAGGCAGCTGGGAGCTGGTGTGAGCCATACTTTGCTGATTTGATTTTTAAGAGAGACCATGACCAAGGCAACTCTCGTAAGAACAGCACTTAATCAGGGCTGGCTTACAGGTTCAGAGGCTCAGTCCATTATCAAGGAAAGGATATGGCAGCACCCAGGTAGGCATGGTGAAGACAGAGCTGAGAGTTCTACATCTTCATCTGAAGGCTGCTAGCAGAATACTGACTTCCAGGCAGTTAGGATGAGAGTCTTAAAGCCAACACCTACAGTGACACACCTACTCTAACAGGGCCACACCTAAAAGTACCACTCCCTGGACCAAGCACATACATACGTGTGAGTGTGTGTGTGTGTGTGTGTGTGTGTGTGTGTCTTTATGTGTCTTTAGCTGACTTGGAACTTGTTGTTAAGTAGATCAGGCTGGCCTCAAACACAGATTAACTTGCCTCTGTCTCCCACGTGCTGCCTGGATTAAAGGCATGGACTACCATGCCTGGCTCCCAATTTGGTTTTTAAAGCTTAAATTATCTGTCTTAGCTACTGAGGGTTTCCACGCTTGATTACCCCTGCACCCAGGCAAGCACCTCACTGCCTTCCCAGTCACAGTGTCGCTATCCCCTCAGCCTGATGAACACCCCCTCAGCAGCAATTTGGCTCGCTAAAGTCTGATTTGAGGCGTCTGACTCCAAGGTAGTGTCTGTCTTGTGCCACCAGAGGTCGCTTACCGTCACTCTGGGACAGAGGTGAAAAAAAGCTTTCCTGTCCCTCTCTCCCCTCCTCCCTCCTTCCCTCATTTCCCTCTCTCCTGCTTGCCATTCTCTCCTTCTTGAGCCTGCTGATCAGATCACAGCGGAGCAGACATCCACCCTGGCAGACGACACTTCAGTGATCACTCAGTGCTACAGGCAAGGCAGAATGCTCTAACCTCTCACCCATCCTCTTCTTCACTTGGACTTCCCGTAGGTGTTGGGTGAGCACTTCAGCTGGACCATGGGGCATCCCCAGCGATGGGGAAATCCCACTGAATGTCCTGGGGCCCCTGGTCACTGCTCAGCACTGGGACTTCCGTGGCTTCCTGCTGCCTGATCCTGCATTCCTCCACACTCAGCAGGCAGATGGACACTTTTTAGGGAAAAAAAAATCTAATTTACATGTGGATTGGGGTACCACTGCATGTAGAGGCCTGTGGGAGTTGATACTCCTTCCACCATGTGAGCCCTTGCTACTGAACGTAGGTTTTCAGGCTTGGCAGCAGGCAGGTTAACCTGTTGAACCATCTTGATGGACCCTTTTCAACCCAGCTGTGCTGCTCTAATGTTTGGAAGTTTGCTGGCATTTCATCCATGTTTCCTTGCTTGTAGCTACAGGCCTAGAGCCCCTCCTGCACCTCTGTCCTCATCTGGAAAGAGGCCAGGCTGGGGTGCCCACTGTGGTGCTGCTGTAAGCAGTCTTGGCTCAGGTCCCCAGGAGGCAGACCCTGAGTCAAGCTGTACAAGAGGTAACAGGAGAGGTTTGCAGAGGCAGGAGGTGAGCCAGGAGGTGGACCAGCAACCATCAGCCAGCCCCAAACCTATCCAGCCAGATGGCTGTCAGAAATGTCCCAAGATGGGACAGGGTGGCCAGGCCTTTGGTATCCTGCATCACAAAGTCCCTCCCTGAGGTGGAGCAGGAACATGGGCAAAGCTACTCTCTGCTTACAGGTGCGAGACCCATACCCCTATGCTTGACAGCATAAGCTGACTGCTGTCTCTCCCTGAAACCTCAGTCCTTCCTTGAAGGGGAGCTGAGTCACAAATCAGTATGCACTACAGATACAGATGTCACCATTCATGTGGGACATGGCCACAACACACTACAGTGAGCAAGCACTGTCATGAAGCACTCAAGTGGTTTTGGTTGTGGAGACTGAAGACAGACTGTAGCAGTCGGTTATAGACTGAATAGCCAGGCCAGTTCCTGCTTCCCTCGATGCCGGAGAATTTGCATTTCTAACAAGTTCTGAGGAGAAGCAAGGGATGCCAAGAGGAAAGCTAGAAGTGCATACTGGGAGGACAGTAGTTAACTTTCGATGTCATCTTCCAGATGATGGACTTGAGTTAGCTTTCCTCTTAGCAACCTACAGAGCCAACCCCATTGCTTCTGCACAGCGCACCATGTGCAGAATTCATTAGGGGAGGGTCAGGCGAGTTTTTGATGGAGGGTGTCACATGACACACCAGGGCAAAGATGCCTTCTATGGAAGATTTGGTTCTGATAGAGTGGAGTGAGAACTTTCTCCGTCCAAACGCCCTACACACACCCCTCAACAAGTTCTGCTTTTATCGGAGAGTCAGGGTTTGAGACTGTCTTACTATGAAGCACTGGCTGTCTTAGAACTCACTGCTTTAGCCCATGCTGGCCTTGAACTCCTAGAGATCTGCCTACATCTGCCTCCTCAATGCTGGGATCAAAAGTATGTGCTACCAAGCCTGGCAACAATTCCTGCTTTTTAAATGTGGTGATGACTGGTGGGTGATTCAGCAGTCTTCTAGAGGTCATGAGGCCACAGCAAAGGTAAGAAGTCAAGAAGAAGAAAATGATGTCACGCAGAGGCAGGCGGAGAGGGAACTTGTCCTCTGCCACTTGGCTTCACCCCAGCTCCACTCCCCATCCCGGCACATGGAAGTAGACATTGCTTATTACTCACCTAAAGTCCAAGGCTGTGAACCCAAGCAGAGAACTTGCAGGCCTGAGGGGCCACTCTTATCTCCAG